CTTTTCTCACAAAATACATTAGTGCGCTTCGCGATGTGGGACTAATGGAGTTTTAGGGGCAGTTACACACTTACCATTCAAATTTTATTCATTTACAAATCTAACATCTAATTTATGGCATATGAGGTCCCCCCCACATTAATTCTTGTATCGTGTAGCGGAAAGGTTAATTATTTTAGGGACATTTACATACATTCCACCCAAATCCCATGAGATTACATTAAACTTATATTTTTATAATTATAATACCAAAAAATTTAACATTTTTTTAAAACATATTAAAAATTACAATAAAAAGATATAAATAAATATTAATATTTAGTTATTTTGAGCGAAAACTAATTGAACACGACAAACATATCTTTATATGTGTATATATATATATATGTGTGTGTGTGTGTGTGTGTGTGTGTGTTAAATACATACTATATACATACATATATACATATGTATATATACATATATATACATACATGTATATATAGATATACATATATATATATGTATATATACATACATATACATGTATACATACATATATACATATACATACATATAGATACATATGTATATATGTATACATACATATATACATATGTATCTATACATATATATATACATATGTATGCATATATACATATGTATCTATACATATATAGATACATATGTATGTATACATATATACATAGATACATATGTATCTATACATATATACATATATACATATGTATCTATACATATATACATATATACATATGTATCTATACATATATACATATATACATATGTATCTATACATATATACATATATATATATATATATATAGATATGTCGATATATATAGATATGTCGATAGATATACATATTTATAGGTATTTCTTAAAACAAAAAAGAAAATACCCAACCATCAAGTAAACTATGGCTCGCCACCGAGCTGACTCATTTTGTAATTCCCTCCAAAGTGTCAATAAGAATGCTTCCTACTTGGTAATCATTAATCAATGTGGTAATGATAATTGTGTCGTTATAAGGGTTACCTCTCTCTCGTTGGCAGGTTTTTATAGGTGAATATAATATTGGGATGCATTGTTTGTCGGGGAATGAGAGTAGTGGCCACAATTCTCTAGACTAACTCTCTTCAGGCTCGACCGATGAGAGGATTCTCCACCTCCTCCAAGTATCAGCGGTATTATTTCTACGATTTAGATGACGTTTGCTCGAATGGATTCATCGGACACAATGTCAACTGGGGCTTTTCCTTGTCTGCGAGCGATTGCTTTGTCTGTTATAAACTCTTTAAGATTTTTGTCTTTGATGAAGTCCTCGACGAGGATCCTATGGTGTCTGCATTCCTCCGTGTCAGGATCATGGTCTGTATGGTAGGCACATAATTGGTTCAGATTTTGAGTCGAACCTTCGACTTTCATCAGCTAAGGTTTCTTGAAGTATTCCTTACGTTGGATGGCCTCTAAGAGCTCAACCATCAAAATTTTTAGGAGAATCATTTTAAGTTGTTCTTGTTTTGAGGGCGATCGTTCACTATGGTGGGTCGATCATTGATCGTGGTAATTGATTATTACCCTTAGCATTTCCTTGGCTTTTGCGGTGTAGCTGATGATTTTCATAGTGACGTTGTGTGGAAGGGCGATGATCATCTTTCTCCCTTCAATCATCGTCTACCGATCCTCTCTATTGTGATTGAGTATCAACAGATGCTTTTTAGGCCTCCTCCCGATCGTTAAGGACATATTCCTTGACAACGATGTGCTGACTGGCTATTTCCAGTAGCTCGACCACTGATTTTGGCTAGCACAAGCCAAGAGTATACTTGAAATGCTCACTTTTTCCTCCATATGTCAAGGAAATATGTGCGATGAGGGGTTCTAGGCGTTGAATCTCCAATATTTCTCACTGGAACCTTGTGATTAGGGCTGTCAAAACGGCTCGTTGTTCGTGAATAGCTCATGTTCTGCTTATTAAGAAGCTTGTGTTCGATTCACTCGCTAAGTTAACGAGTCGAACACTAGCAAAGATCTGTTCGTTTGTGTTCGGCTCATTTTTGCTCAAAATCCTATTCATCAATCACACACACACACACACACACTGTGTGTGTGTCTATATATATGTGTATGTATGTGTGTATATGTATGTGGGTATATGTGTATATATGTACGTATGTATCTATGTACATATGTATCTATATATGTATAGTATTTTTAAAAAAATTAATTGACTACAAGGGTACATATTTATAATTAATTAAAATTATTAGTTAAGAAAATAGAATAAAAATTATAGAACTAGTGCAAATTATGTTTTAATATAAATAATAATTTTTAAATCTTGCCCTAACCCTTAACATCTTATGGCTACGTGATTAGGGTTGTCAAAACGACTCTTTGTTCTTGAACAACTCGTGTTTGACTCGCTAAGCAAACGAGCCAAACACAAACTGACTTTTTGAGCTCGAAATATAAACGAGCCAAACACGAGCTGAGCGTGGACTCGCTCGTGTTTGACTCATTTACACCCCTACTTGTGATGTATGAATTAAGGGTCTCTTCCTCCTTTTGCTTGATCTATAGGAGAGCTTGGAACTTCTTTCATAGCCTTTGCACTCTCACAAAGTGGGTCATGAATAACCTTTTGAATTCAAGGAAAGAGGGAATGACTCCCGCTGAGATGACATTAAATCACCGAAGGACGGACTCTCTATATGTGCTAAAGAATAAATGGCCCTTGAAGGCATCGATGATTTTCAATATTTTGACGATCTACTCAAAGGTAGCTATATGATCGGACGAGTCGGTGAGGCCGTTACACAAATTGATGTTGGGGGTTTTGAACTTTCTTGAGGTTCTAACTCAAAGAATTGCTGAGAGAAGGCGTTTTCAGCATGGCGAAAGGCTATAGCTTGCATAATATAGTGTTTTTCTCTCAGGGCCAATCTGATGCTATCTTGGTAATGAGAATTGTCACCCATTTCTTCTATCGGCTGAGATTTCCGACCATTGGGTATCGATCCATCTCGCCTGTCGTTGGTCACTAGTTCATTTTGGTGATCAGGCGTTTAGCGGCTATATTCTTGTGAGTTTTTGCTTCCTTGGCTAGGACATCTTTAAACATGCCTACCATTTGTTCCTTCATTTTTAGCATCAACTATTCCTTTAACTCTATTTCCTGTTGTCACACAATTTCCCTTGTGCTGTCCACATCTACTGCTTGATTCTGTGCTTCTTGGATGATTGTTTTACCATTGTGTTGTGCTCTTCTTCTTGTTTTGTGACATGATTTCATGCTCACCGCACCTTTAAGGATGCTGAATCCAAAAATATCTGGGAATCACAACCAAGGAATAAAGCGTATGTGGAAGAAGGAGTTACGCAAGTAAGGAGAGACGAACATTAAAGATAAGAGTGTCTATAGTCATTTCTCATGAAATGTTCTTCTATTTATAGGTATTGGAGATATATTTAAAACATAATTAATTTTAGGTTCCTTCTCTATAAAAAGAGATAATGGGGGTACCGAGAACATTTATACAATACATTTAAATAGACTAACAAGAAATTGTTGATTAACGATGACGATCCTTGTTCGTTGACTTGTACTTATTGGTTCGGTGGAGACAGGGCGAACCACGTGAAAGCAATATGAAGGCTCCTCTATTGAATGCGTCCATGACTCCTTAAAATTTAGTTCGTTCATTTGCTCGTTGTGCGCGATAAGATGTCTCTCGTTCGATTCATCCTGCGAGCATCTTTCGTTCGACCTCCTTGTAGTCGACCCGTCAACTAAGTGAACGACTCAGTAGAAGCCTGTGACGTTCCCCTTGCCTTGGTGTTAATTTTTTCTTGATTAATTAATTAATTTAATTCGTCGATTGATTTTGGGAAATTTTGACCGGGGGTCCACTTCATCTGTCATGTACTCCCATTTTGCTTCGAGATTTGTGCTGCTGCAATTATATCACACATGCATGTTAAAAATTTGTGTGTATATATATATATATA